CTACAGGAAGTTCTTTAGACAAAAGGGATATCAGATAAAAACTCAGACTAAGGGGATGTCAGAACCTCAAATCTACAAAAATAAGGAACTCTACAAAGGATAAACATGTGGGTAAATAGAGGAGACTTCTTTTAATTTCTTTATAAAACATGATCTTTGAAGTAAAAACTGTAACACTGCAGTGTTTTGGAACATACATCGATGCAAAATATATCATGACCATAGTACAAATGATGTGGAGTAAATAGAATCATATTGTTGCAAAGTTGTTGTATTTTATCTGAAGTGGTTCAGCGTCAACTCTAAGTACTCTATGAAAAGTTAACAATGCATATTGTAATCTCTAGAGCAACACTAAAAAGTATAGCAAAAAAGCCGTTAGCAAAATTAAAACAGAATACTGAAAATATTCCATTCATGTAAAATAAAGCATAAAAGCAGGGCAAATGATGTAATGAGCACTAGGTGCTATGTAAGTCTGACGAATCACTGAACTCTACCTCTGAAATGAATAGTACACCATAGGTTAATTAATTGAATTTAAAGAAAAAAATAAGGTATAAAGAACAGAGGAGCAAAAAACTAGATGAAACAAACAGAAAACAATTAACAAAACAATGAACCCAAACCTTGCTATGTCAATAAATACTGGAATTGTATATGAAGTATCCAATTAAAAGGCAAAGGCTGTCAGAATGGACGAAAAAGACTGAGCTGTACGCTGTCTGCAAAAAGGCATAAAGACAGATATAATGAGGATAAGAAAGATGGTATGACTATCAATATCAGACAAAGTAAAAAATCAAGTCAAGTAATATAACCAAGGATAAACAGGGATACTTTATAATGATAAAAATGTCAATTCATTGGGAAGAGAAAACAGAAATGTTCATGCTCCTAATAATATAGCTTCAAAACATATAAAACAAACATGGAAAGAATTTTTTAAAAATCCGCAATAGCTGATGATTTTAATACCTTCTTTTAGTAATCACTAAAAGTGACCCAAAAACTCAATAAAGATATAGAAGATCTGAAATATCATGACCTCACAGTTACACTCAACAACTGCAAAATATACAATCTTTTGAAGTGCCCTTGAAATGATCATCATGATAAACCATTATGCTGGGCCATAAGACAAGTCCCAGTTGCAAAAAAGACTGGAATCTTAAGGAGTCTGTCTTCTGATGAAAAGCTCCAAATATTTAAAAATTAATGAAGAATACAGTGTCATCAAAATCTGTAGGCTGTGGCTAAAGCAATGCTTAGAAGGAATTTTACTGCATTAACTGCTTACATTTTAAAAAGAACAAAGGTTTAAAATCATTTATCTAAGTCTCCACTGTAAGAAGTTAGAAAAAGGAGGGGGGCCTGGGTGGCTCAGTGGGTTAAAGCCTCTGCCTTTGGCTCAGGTCATGGTCTCAGCCCCGCAGTGGGATCGAGCCCCTCACTGGGCTACCTGCTCAGTGGGGAGCCTGCTTCCCCCTCTCTCTGCCTGCCTCTGCCTACTTGTGATCTCTGCCTGTCAAATAAATAAATAAAATCTTAAAAAAAAAAAAAGTTAGAAAAAGAGCATTCAGGAGAAGGAAGGAAATAAAAAAAAAATCTAAATGAATGGAAATATATACCATCTTGAGCATCAGAAGACTCAGTATTGTTAAAATGTCAGTTCTCTCCAAATTGATCTATAGATTCCACACAATGCCAACTACAATTAACAGGCTTTTTTTTAGTATAGAAACTGACAGGATGATCCTAAAATATATATGGCTATTTGGGAATAGCCAAATTATCTTAAAAGAGAAACACGGAGGACTTCAACTTTTTGACATCAATATGAAACTAAGTATTTATGGACGTATTCTAACTAATGAATAAGCAAATTACAGATACATAATATCATCAATGATGCCAACAGCACAAATGAGACATTATGTACTCCCTGATGAAAGTATCTATACCATTTATGAAACAGACTTAACCAAAAAATTGAACCTGAATGTGATCTATCTCCTAGATGACTACCAACTTACAGGAAATACAGAACAAAGAATATGTTAAATAATACCATGGTGTGTGCAATTAACAAGGACCACTCTCTGAAGAACCCAGTTTTTTCCTACTAAATGTGCAAAAAAAAAAGAGAGAGAGAGAGAGAGAGAAATGGAGAAGAAATTGACAAAGAGAGACTTGATAAAGAGAGACATCCACTAGCTGCAATGTGTGGTCTTTATAAGCATCTTCATTCAAATATATTGTAAAATAAATAATGAGACAATGAGGGCAATTTAAATATATTTGATGATGTAAAGGAATTAAACTTTCCCTGTCTGTGATAATGTATTATAGTTACACACAGGAAAAGAATGATCATCTTTTAGACATATATATTGAAATAACTAGAGATAAGCTCAAAATAATCTAGGGTAGGGTAGGAAAGTGTGCAGAGATAAACAGGACTGGCCATGAGTTGATAATTTTTTAAGGTGAGTGACAAGGGGACAAATTTTTGTAAAGGGCATATAGCAGGTTTTAAAAGTTCAAAAGCAGAAAGTTAAAAAAAAAAAAAAAGCTATAATAAAGAGCATCCCTGAAACTGACCAGCTTGTGGCTATTTGGTTGGAAAGCAAAGTGGAACATCTTGGGACGTGATCATGTCTTGTGCCCGAACGGGCTCTACAGCCAGGACCAAAGCAAGGCTGGGCTCAGCCATAGATCTGCACATTCTTGGACAAGTGGCGCCGAGTTCCTATAGGCTGTGTAGTTCCTTGTTCAATGGGCAGCTAGGGGGCTGGAGAGGTGAGTGAGGAAGACTTGTCTGGGGTCACAGAACAAGACCCTGTGGTAGTAAGTAGATGAGGGAACCACTTCGGGAAGTGACTGAGGCTTTTCTGGCTTTGTTTACTGTTTGTCTCTCCTCACTAAAGAGGGCAGGGGACTACATCTGTCTTACTTATTCACTGCTATATATCCAGTGCTTAGCACAAAGTAGGCTCTAAGTAAATAGGTTGAGTGAATGAACTCTAGTAAGGCTCAATAAAATACATGCCACAAAAGCCTCGTAAGCAAACTGTGCTCCTAAGTTACTCATACTTCCCTGAATTAAAATAATTTCTTTTAACAAACCAATGATAGTATTACTTTATATTTTCCTTGTTGTCTGTTCCAAGTTTTCATACACAGCATCTCAATTTAAAATTCACAAAACCATACTACAATGTAATCAGGCCACATACATTCAGCCTAGAAGAACCAAGGACTCCTGCCTTTTGGTCATTATTTCCTCTTCTGTATCACAACTAGTCAAGTGCTAAAGATAAAACATGTTTTCCAAGAAGCAACTGTACCTTCACAACACTGCACTAAATTTCTAATTTACCCTGAAGATGTAAGTTTTCCAACTCTGGGTAAGCTGCATCATAATTCAACATTAAAAACTAACCTAAGACTAAAACAAAGTATGGAACAGTAACTAACAGGATTGTACGGTTAAGGAACAAAAGTGACCTTGTGCTTCAAAGAGGGAACCAGATGTATAACATTCAGACATTCCTCTGCTGAACTATTAGCACAAACTGGTTGGACTGGCAGAAATCCTGATTTTTTCCAGAGCTCAAACAAGTTACGCCCCATGAATCTAATCTTAAACCAGAACAAACTGGACAGAGGAAAAAACTGCCATAAACTGAAGGCAATCTAAAAGGCCATGAATATATTTCAAAATGTAACTTTGCTTAGGAAATTCAGTTTGGGTGTGATTTATTTCAAGAGGTATTTTCAAAAAAAATTATACTTACTAATTCCAAACAGTGAAGTTTTGTTTGAATTTCAAATTTATTACAAAGGGACAGAATTTCGTCCCTTTGTGGAATGAAGTATTTGGGGTTTGAATTCAATTTATCCACCCATGTTCCAGGCGGACATTTTGCTAAATAGGATATATGATCAGGTTTCAAGAAAAAGAAACAAAAGAAAAAAAACCAACTTCATAAAGTCTATACTACACAGCTCATTTCCCCATATGATGGCCTCCAGAAACATTTAATGTTGGTACACTGTGTGCTATCCTTATTAATACACTGATGACAGTATTAATCCACTGTCAACAGAGAAGTCACCAGCATGTCTGGGACAAATGAAAAAATCTAGACAGTGAGAGGTAAAGGCTCACAGATACGTCTCAATTGAGTCACTAAGACTCAGAGGTATAGCTTCTAGCCATGTCCAGTTATTCATTTTACACCTGAAAATGAAAATAAGAAGCATGGGACTAACTGGAAAGGTTTCTTGTTTGTCTTAAAGAAAATATTACAAAAATTAAGCAAATTTCAAAGATAGTGGAGGACCAGAAAGTCACAAAATGTTTCTGCCCCATCTTCTTAATCTCTAGTCATTCTTCGGTGTGGTAATTTTCCATTTTTAAGACCCTACCACCAACCTTGCTTATCAGGCAGAAGAGAGCTTCAAAGAAATCAAAACAAAGGCCTTGGGCGCCTGAGTGGCTCAGTGGGTTGAAGCCTCTGCCTTCGACTCAGGTCATGATCTCAGGGTCCTGGGATTGGGCCCGGGATCGGGCCCCACATCGGGCTCTCTGCTCGGCAGGGAGCCTGCTTCTTCCCTCTCTCTCTGCCTGCTGCTCTGCCTCATTGTGATCTCTCTCTCAATCAAATAAATAAATAAAATATTTAAACACAAAAAAAAACCAAAGGCTTTTTCAATCATAGGCTCACTCTTTGGCTCCTGGACTGAAAAAGAGCTCCCTTCTTGGGATTTCTACAGGAGATTCAGTGGAACAGACTGAAGCTCAATCACCCTTATTAAAATGCGAAATTATTGGGGTGCTTGGGTGGCTCAGTGGGTTAAAGCCTCTGCTTTCGGCTCAGGTCATGGTCTCAGGGTCCTGGGATCAAGCCCCGCATGCTTCCCCCTCTCTGCCTGCCTCTCTGCCTACTTGTGATCTCTCTCTCTCTGTTAAATAAATAAATAAAATCTTTTAAAAAAATGTGAAATTCTTGATGATGTATGTACTTCTCCTTTACTCTGTAAAGCTAAACACAGCTAGCAGAATTCTCTCTATATGCTACCTGTCTGATTTCCACTCTGGAAGCTGAGCCGTATCACCTGAAAAAGTTACCCTTCTAACTAGAAAAAACAGAGTAAACAAGGCAACTACAGAAAGTCTTATCATCTAAGCCCTAGTGCTGAGGCAGTCAAACACCACCATCATTTAGCAAAATTTCTACAGTGCCTTATGATTCAGCTTTAAACACTTCAAGCTGCACTCCAGCAAGTGACTGAATGACCACCTACCTAAAATTCACAGTGATAACTTTTTGACAGAGGCAGATTTTGATCTATGCCAACAACTAGAATTGGCTCGTCCCCACAAACCTCTTTGAAAAATCTTAGTGCAAAAGCTCCAGGATATAAGAAATTCAGATTCACAGTCATAAAGCGCCATGACCTTTCATCACATGATTAAAACTGCTGTTTCCTAGGTCATGTGGGCACTAAACAAAAGCTTGGCCAACACCAACCCTTTCCATATAAAGAGGTCTTGGGAAGCTACACAGCTCTCATTAAGAAAAGAGAACCACTGGTTCTAAACTCTAAAAGGAAATTCATAAAAGGATGAAATTTTATGGTACGCAAAATAGATCTCAACTAAAAAAAAAAAAAAAGAAAAGAAAAGAAACCTTAAGGCCGTTGAGTACTTTTTTTTTTTTTTTAAGATTTTATTTATTTATTTGACAGACAGAGATCACAAGTAGGCAGAGAGAGAGGGAGGAATCAGGCTCCCTGCCAAGCAGAGAGCCCGATGCGGGGCTCAATCCCAGGACCCTGGGATCATGACCCGAGCCGAAGGCAGAGGCTTTAACCCACTGAGCCACCCAGGCGCCCCAAGACCTTTGAGTACTTTGAAGTGGCCATCCTATCCACGAACTGATTAATACTCAGTTTTTTTCTGGGGCTTGACTTGTTCCATTCTTCAGGAAAGGGGAGAATGTAGACAAGGACTGGAAACCTTTACAATAGCTCAAGTTCACTTCTGCCATTTCTAACAATCAAAAGGATTAAGAATGATTTTCCAAAAACATACGTTGATGAATTAACTTACATATCTTAAAATCGTTTTCAACCAACAGTCTGCACAAACTGTATCATCTATTTAAATGTGTGATTATCATACACTGATATAGCATATGATTGTTAAAAAATTGTCTTTGCTTACTGCAATTCTAGCTCAACTTCTATTTAGCCAAAGAACGAAAGTCATAATAAAGAATGCTTTACTTGCTTCATAGTGATATTTAAATGAAATGAGTATGCCTAAATTCCTCACAATAGTAAAATATAAAAGTAGTACAAGGGGAATTTCCAGCTAATTATAAGGTTTAAATTTGTGCCAAATAATTTACACATGTATTGCCAGAATAACAGAGCATCCGTACAGTTTTTATGTAAATGTACTGAACAGAAAGAAAGTGTGCTCTTTTCCATCTTAGGATACTATTTCTAGATGTTACATAAAGGACAAGCTCCCATGACACAAAACTGTAAAGTTTCACAACAGTCATGTTCCATGAATTTATTTTTCAATCACACACCTTATAAATACCAAGAGTAATTTCCTATCATCTTGGGGGAAAAAACTACTTACAAGAGAAACATACTTACAAGAGATAACAGCAAACTGAACAGGTTACCAGCATGGTGATGATAACTCTAAAACAAAACAAAACAAAACCATCATTAGATAACCAGAAAACCAGGGAGACGCTGTCAGATGGTTTAAGCCTCCTTCCCAAATTACAAACTGGCAAGGTCTATGCACCAAGAAAAGGGAACTAAATCTGTTCAAACACCAAATAATGACTGCACTCAGTAGAAGTTTAAGTAAGTAATTAAGGTTTGTATTTGAAGGGATCTGTACTGAGGCCTCAGCTTTGACGGCCAATCCAAACCCATCGACAACTGAACACAAAAGGCTGCAGTGACAGTTGTGACATCCAAGAAACTACCTATCTGGTAGTTTTCTCTGCAGTGAAATGACATGATACTTGTAAAAACTGAACTTTCTAAGAGCGCCTGGCTGGCTCAGTTGGGAAAGCATGTGATTCTTGATCTTAGGGTCGTGATTCAAGCTCCACATTGGGGAAAGAGATTACTAAAAATAAACAAACTTTAAAAAAAAAAATGCCAGAACTACATAGGCTTAAAATGAAAACGAGATGATTCTTAAAAAAAAATTAAATATATATTTTTTATAAATAATATATATTATATATAATTATATTATATATTTATATGTATTTTATATTTATATATAAATTTATATTTATATATATTAATTACATAAACATATTTATATATCTTTTCAATGTTGACCTCTTCCCATCTCTATTCCTGTCTGAAAAATAGTTAAACCTGGATCTCTGGTCAGCTGAATTTCAACATTTAAAAAACTGAATTCATGGTATCCTGTTCCCATTTCTCTTTCCAAAGGCTCCTCTTACCAATATCCTACACCCCAGAAGAAGCTGTCATTTCCACCCATCCAACCCACTCCTCAAATCTGTCATCGTTTTGTTCTTGCCTCCTCTGCATCCTGAATCACCAAATGCTAGCAGATTCAAAACTTTCTTCCTTCCCTTTCATCCTACCACACTCATCACAGAGTCATCTTTCTAAAATATTCTTTCATCACATCACTCTTCAGCTGAACACCTTTCAATGCTCTCCATCCTTCACAGGAGTAATTTCCAAAGAAGGGGTCTCCACACCCCACAGAGTAAGCAAGACTATCTCCTCAAATACAAGTAGCAAATATCAGAATTCCTATTTATATTTATTTTCAATTCATCCTTTAGAAGTTCTGTGTGTGCACATGTACTTTATGTGGTCAATACTGGCACATCCGTTCATTCATTCAGCAGATTTTCAATTGAGTGTCCAGTATGTACCAGGCTCTGGGGAAAAAGGAGTCAACGAAATGGATGAAAACCCCTGCCCTGGTGAAGTTTACATGATCGTGGGGGAAGACAGACAACAAACAAGATGAACTTTAAACAACTGATTACATAGGTACCATTAGTATGCCAGGTGGTCAGTAAGTGCTAATGGAGAAAAATAGAGCAGGAAAGAAGGATAAGGGTATACAAGGTTTGGAGGCTGTGCTTGCAATTTTTTTTTTAAGATTTTATTTATTTATTTGACAGAGAGAGAGAGATCATAAGTAGACAGAGCAACAGGCAGAGAGAGAGGGGGAGGCAGGCTCCCCGCCGAGCAGAGAGCCCAACGCGGGGCTCGACGGGAGGACCCTGAGATCATGACCCAAGCCAAAGGCTGAGGCTTAACCCACTGAGCCACCCAGGTGCCCCAGTGTACTTGCAATATTAAAAGAGGGCAGTCAGGAAAAGGCTTGCTGAGGACGTGGCAAGAGAGTCCAGACCTGAAGGTGAGGGAGTGTTCCAGACAGAGGGAAGAGCAAATGCAAAGGTGCTATGGTACCAGGAGTTAAAAGAGGACAGAGGCCCATGTTGCTGAGCAGAGCAAGGGGAGGGAGGTCAGCAAAAGGGAGAATATAGACCAGAACTGGAAACACCTTTAAAATAGTTTAACTGTAGTTTGGCCATTTCTGACACTCATGAGGATTAAGGGCAGTGTCTTGGTAGCCTCTAAAGGAAAAGGGAAGCTATTTGGAGGGATCTGAGCACAGGACTGACAAAATCTGATTCAGATTCTATGAGGACCTCTCCGCAGAGCAGAAACAAACTGGGGGAAGAGAGGCAAAGGGAAAAGTTCAGAAACCAGTTTCCCATAATCCACGGACCAGGCTGGTAGCAGCAGAAGTAGTGAGAACTGGTCAGATTCTGGATATGTTGTGAAGGCACACGCTTCGAAATACCTAATTTACACATTATGCTTGTATACATGAATGAGCATGCGCCGGCGCTTGCGCCGGCGTTTGTGTTACAAAATGTTGCAAGCCACGTAACAAAAATGTTTGATTTCTGAAGAGCTACACAATCAGAACCAGCTTCTCACCTGTAATCAGTTCCCTCCACTCATCCTCACCAATGTCCACTTTCCGACAGCAACCCTCCACTCCCAAAAGCAGGAGGCCTCACTGTCCCCCCCAAACACATCAAGTTTACTCCTCTCCATTCCAAGCTTTTGCTCATTTTCCTTCATTCCTCTGCCTCAACCTGGAATCCCTGTGTCTTCTGTCTTCCTCAAAGACCACCTAAGAAACCTCAAACTGCTGAGGCTCTACTGTGTTACCGGCTTACTACTTTTGTATCAAAAGCTCCTCATTAAAACATCACCTCCAGCCTGGCTGGCTAAGTCAAAAGAGCGCAGGACTCTTGATCTCCGGGGTCCTGAGTTCAAGCCCCATACTGGAGACAGAGATTACTTAAATAAATAAATAAATACACCTAAACAAAAATAGGTTTTGGAGAATATTCTATTGGAGAATATTTTATTCTCTCCAAATATGCCGCTTAGTGGTTGCATGCTGAAGTGTCTGAGATGAAGAAGTGTCATCATAATGAATGCAATTCACTTTCAATTTAGCAAAAATATATGCGTGTGTTTACACACATACACACACATTCACAGATACAAAGCAAATATGAGTATGTTAACAATTATTGTATCTCAGCGGTGGAATACAACATTACTACTCTTTCTGCCTTTCCCTATGCTTGAAACAAATCGGAGCTCACTGAACTCCCTGTGAGCTAGCTCCACCCCTCCTCCACATCCACCCGCTAAAGGAGCCACCGTGAAAAAAGGGAAGGTTTTAGAGCACCTGCTTAGGAAATCATGAAAACATGAAAGGTCTGATTCCAAACACCAACTTCTTTTTATTTGACCCATTTTCTGTTGTAGAAAAAAATGAGAGCAAGGGGTTTGCTTTAAGCTACAGAGATTTTCCTGCATTCTGCTGTGCGTGTGATGTGGGAGTAGAAGGCTAGCTGAGGACAAAGCTTGGGCTGACACCCAGCAGCCTCCCCGCTCCACCCCCCCCACAGTGGGTGGGCTTTGTATGACGTTCTTCCAGGAAGCTCCCCAAGATCTTCGAAATAAACCTTGCTGGGGTGAGGGTTGGGGGGAAGAACCACCTTAACTAGACATTGGCAAGGCACCTGGTACCTCGAGGTCCTCTTTAGCATATGAAAGTTCTTTTGAAATCACCCTTATCCTTATCTCCCCTGATTTTCTAGTACATAATCTGCCACCCCTCACAACCTTCAGGCAGCAGGCCCACCGGTCCTGTCCCCGTGCTCTCCTTTTTACACAGATGATGTCTCAACTATTCTTTCTTGGCCATCGGTTCCAGACCCCACTGAATCTCACCTATATTCCAAAACTACAGCACGTGGGTCTTGCAGGGAAAAGGATTTAATATCAAAGTCTCTCTTCTTCCCTTGCCACATAGCACTTTTATCTCCTTAGTGAAGATGTTTTTAATCTTTGAAATCACAAATGCTCTGATTAAAAATTCACCTACCCTTGAAGCAATTAAGCTCCTTCGTGTATTAAAAAACCGTCTCGCAGGCTTTCAGGAGTTAAAGGGGAACTACTACTAATTCAATACTACTATTTCCTTCCATCTTACAATGAGGAAA